ACGCCGCGGGATGGCATTTATCGAGAAGTAATCACCGTACGAGGCGCGTGTGCACGTTTGCATACAGTTATTTATGCGTTTACGTAAGCTAAATTATCTTTCCATACATAAATCTCGATCCCTTTTAGCAAATATAATTCCTCTTCAAGATAAACGGATAGCTAGATAAATTAAACCGCATCGTTCAGTTTAATAACATTGATCATTGATGCGGTGTGTTAATAATATACCTTATACTTTCATTTAACTGTCATTTAAAAATCCTTTCTTCAATAAATAAATCATCAAATTCAATAAATAATACATCAAATAATTTCGAAATTTCCACGTAGAGACTTAATAAAATTTTCCGAATCACAAAGGTTTCTCGAAGTTGTTCTAACGTCGGTTCTTTTTTTTGGTGTAGCTTCTTGATTAATAAATCTCAGGTAGAACGCTGCGAGTAAACTACTCGAAAAGATAAAAATCCTCTATCTGTCTTTCTTTCATTCTTTGCTTTTTTTCTATTAATTGTTGATTATAATTATATACGTATATCGTAGTACCATCGCGCGTGCGTCACTTGAGAATTTCTCAAAATTTATTCTAACATAAAGCGGCAGATGCTCGATGTTTAATTTAATTTATTGACCTCGATTATGGATTTTCTTTTTTCCTCTCCCTCTTTTCCCTCTTTTCAATATTTTTCCCCGTTACAATGAAAACATTTCAGGATCGCTGTAGCCAACGATATTTCACGCAGAATTATCTGGGGTGCCTAGACTCTCTCGACGGTTTTTTTAGTTACTAATGATAGAAATAATTTATTTCTACCATTGTAGATTAACTTTGATCTTAATTTAATTTATACTTTTTATATTTTTCTAGATCTGAAAATTAGAGAAAAAATAACGAGTAAATTAAATCGAGATTAAAGTCAGATAAAGATAAATGTAGGATGTATTGGTAAAAAGAAACGTTATGTCTATTTTTATCAACATAAATTAATTTTAATTTCGGTTTAACTCACTTTTTCTAGTTCTAAGAATTAGAAAAAGATGAAGAGCAAGTTGAACCGAGAAATTAAAGTTAATCTACACTGGTGGAAACGAACAATAGATGACTTCGACTAAACTTCGATTAACTTAACCGGCGATTAGTGAACTAGTAAAAATTGTTCTTGCAATTTCTATAATTATATATTACTGTAATTATACAATTCATGTCTTAATCTAATCATTCTACTCGTGTGTTAAACGTTAAAATAGATGTTTCTATCCACGCTAATAAAATAACGTAAATTCGCGATAAGAGTTAATCACAAAGTAGGTTAACGTTATCTGCGAGTTTGTACTTGTCATGGTTAATTTCTTATCGCAAACATGCAATAAAACTAAATAAAATAATATTGTACTTAAATATTCTAAAGAGAGTGAAATCTCACTCTTACGTCTATTTCTACCGACATATGTAGATCAACTTTAATCTTGATTCAACTTATTCTTCATATTTTTCAAATTCTTAGAGCTAGAAAAACATGAACAGATAGTTATAAACCGAGATTAAAACTAAACTACATTGGTGGAAGCGAGTATAAATAACTGTGAGAGACTCTTTTCAAAGACTGGCTCAACTTTTACTCTTCAGAGTGAGATTCCAGTGCAAAAAAAGAATTTAGAGGGTATAATAAAAACTCGTGATGTACCGGTGGCGCAGATACCGCCGATGATCCAGGCGAGGCAGACACCGGCGAGAAGGCCGCGCGTCCTCGCGGAGGTCGCCGCCGGCCGCTGCTCCATCCTTTTGCCTCGCCGTTGTGCGACGTTGACCTCACTCCTTAGCTCCCCTTCACCCCCGCCTCCTCCTCCTCCTCCTCCTCCTCGTCTTCGTCCGTTGCCTTCTTCTCCACCGTCGTAGCCTGCTCCTTCGCTCGCAGCCGCCGCGTGTAAGAGGCTCCGGAAGCGTGCGGGCTACGCCAATCGCGGCGATTCGTGCCGCGTCCCCGTCACACGCACACTCGCGACTCGCATTCCGCGATGCCCGCCGATGCTGTTCACTCCCTCCGATCACGTTCGAATGAGACGCGGACTGGCGCGAGACGCTCAAGGTTCTTAAGTTCCACTATCGCTGGATATTAGCCGCTAGAATAAGCCTTCAGTTACTAGGAGGATTGGAGCCAATCAGCCAGCCTTCCTTCTATTTCCTTTTTTTTCCAATGTGAATTTCCGAATCGCAAAGGCAGGTCACAGTACCATAAAAATCCCGTGATCCAGGGATCAAGTATCAAACCTCTAAGGAGAGATAGAGGTCCTTCTTAGTCCTCTTTTTATCCAAGGAATTTAAAAAGAAATACGCTCAAGGCGGTTAGACTCGCGCGTCCCTCTCACTTCGCAGAGGGAAAGTAGAAACGAAACGGCGGAGGTGCAGAAGATGCAGCCGAAGCAAACACGCCCGTTAACGAAAATCGCGATTGTATCTTGTTCGGATGGATCGCTCGTTCACCGAGCTGACTTCTTCGTGTTTCTTTTCAAAGTCAGGCTGGTTCCTCGCGATCTCGTGCCCTTCTTCCTCTCTCGCTTCTTCCCACGCTCTTTTCTTTTCAATGCGAACACTGACGTCCGTGAGAAAATCCGCAGGAATTGACGATGGAAGGGACCCGTATCGATCAAGATCGATCGTCCGCTCAGTCGTTCTCGTCAGTTCTCGTTCACTTTTTGATTGCAAGTCGAATACAAAATCGTTCAATAGACGATCGCAGACTCGGCCGAGACGTAGTCAACCGCGTACAGTTTTCACTCTCGCTTCACACTTGACGACGCGACGCGCTTGAAGTGCTTGAACTCGCCGCGAAAATCTTGCGTAAAACTACTTACACGCAGGGTCAACAATAAAAGTCCATGCGACGACGAATTCCTCCTTGCCACCCACGGTCTTCCTCCCCGCGGGAGAGAAGGTAAACGCGAAGGCGATGCGGACGCTCGCGCACGTTCACCTGGTAACACCTGGCAACACCTGGTGAAGGTGTACACAACACCGTTAAAACTCGCTCGCCGAGAAGTTCGCGGGGACGTCGGACCGGACGTCGCACCGGTGGAATGCTTCGATATGGCGATCGTCTTCCTCCTATCGCGACGAAAGTCAGACCGACCTCGAGACGCCGTCAAGTTGAATCAAGCTCCGTTACAGTCGACGCGCTCGCACACCGCGTCACTCGGCAAACGCGTTCGCAGTCGACAACCGATGAACGACAAGTTAAAATTACGTACACGCGCATGCCCACCGCAGGCGCTACTAATCGGCCAATCGTCTCCGAATGTTGGCTCGCGCTCTCACTCGGCTGCGTTCGGCAACGCATCGCTGAGCGGACGGTGGCGTTCAGCACAGCGCGACAGCGACCAATCGGACACCGCTGCGGCTAGAGAATTTCGAGACCTAGCCGATTTTTGCGGTATGCCACTTGTTGAATGCCGTTGAGAAAAAAAAACGAAGAAGAATTAGCTTCGATTAACTTAATCAGTATTTTATTAAGCAAAACAAACAAAACTGTTAAATTAATAAAGACCTGTTTAATGTATTGAAAAAAATTAACCGTATATTAGAAATTTTGTTTTAAGGATTTTGCTGCTTGAGTATGAGCGTCGATTCTCAGGAAGCAACCTAGTACCGGTAAAAATTAAAATTTTGGATTTGGCAATAATTATTTAAATCCATGTATATTTATTTTAATCCCCAAGAAATTGAAATAGACAAAAATAGATTTGTATGGTCATTACCGAATATAAAATTTTGATTTTTTGAACACAGGGAGGGTGATGTTATGATGTTTTTAACGTGATTAAAGATTCAAAATTTAAATAAGTCGATTGATGGATCTATATAGTTATATATACTAATATTGTTCTTTATAATTACATTTTAAAAATGTTTGAGTTTGTAAAAAAATATTTAGAATGAATTTAAATATTAAAATTTTCTTCGATATACTTTGAAAATTCTTTGATTTAAAAAGATCGCAATGTTCTCAACGAATTTGTCGAAACTTCGTAAAAACAGTTGTTAATCGTTCACTGCGCAAGTGCGTGACTTCTGCCGTTGCGTCCCTAAAACTCTTCAATTTTGATCAAATAACTTAACTAAGCATTTTGTTATACATATAATATGAGTAGAATAAATGATAACAGAAATTAGTTTAGACAATAAAGATAATACTAAATAATTAACAATTTTGCTAACAAAAGCGATAGTTCTGTCGCTTGAATTAATTAAAAAATATGGAGGAAATTTTGATTAATGTTTAGTTTAATATTTTGATTATTAAACTGATTGTTTGATATTCAGTTTAATGTATTTATTTTTATTCTTTATTATTTATTCTTTTTTTAATATATTAATACATTAATTTCTAAGCTACTTCTAAGTAACTTCTCAACCGAAGTTACCATACGAGCATGACTAATGCCCATTTCCACCAATGCAGATTAACTTTAATCTCGGTTCAATTTGCTCTTCGTCTTTTTTTAATTCTAAAAATTAGAAAAAAATTAACAGTAATGCCTAGTTTATGCTTCGGTCTTAAGGTCTTAATCCTAAAATTCAGCCAATAGAGTTCAAATTTCTATTAAAACTGGCAGCTTTATTGGTTGAATTTTAGGATCTTAGGATTAAGTCCTGTTGCGGGATTCTCTAAACGTTTTATCGATGATTGTCGCTACCATTAACTAGCGACAGCCAATGGCAGGACAATCCTAAAAGAAAGCGCGGCTCTCATTGGTTGTCGCTAGTTAACGATACAACAATTATCGCAAAAACCAACGACATATATTGATTATCTAGTAAATTTTCCCATTCAGTTGATAGGTTGGTAGTCCAAATATTCATTTTTCCCGCCATAATGGCCAGCTGTTCTAATTCTCGTTTGTTTCGCAGTACACGGGATATACATGAGATGAGCGACGACTCCGGTCGTACGATTTCATTTGATATTTAATTTTAATTCAGAGCGCAGAACAGGCAGGAGCAAAATGATGACCCAGGAGAGCACAGTTGAGTGCGACATAAACATTTACTGCGTTGTACCGAGTCACCTGGAGTCCGAGGATGATTGCAGCGAGAAAATGTGGCAGGCATTTAATGTTTGTATGCTTTCCTGCTTTGCTATAGTTATAAAGTTTTTTCTCTGTTTTTTCATACAGATTACAAGTTGATAAACGAAAGATATGGAGGCGATTTTGCATTTTCCAATATTTTTGCTTCTCTTGGCCACATCCTTTGTCACTTATTGATTTAAAAAAATGTTATTCTATTTTATTCTAGAAATGCAACGAGCTTAGTTTGCGTCCAGAATGGGTTAGCGAACAGTTTTGCTGTAACATGAAACCACAGAAAAACGATGTATTTGTTATAGAAGAATTTAAAGGAGAAACGTTCGAGAAACTGAAGAACTTTAAATGCTCGTAAGTTTGCAAGCTAAGCTTTCCTAAGCAGTGCACAGCAATCATAATAATATTAAGGTTGTCTCATCATGATCTTATTTATCACTTATAAGTTCACATTGACTTATTTGTTCTTGTTTCTTTTGTAATAGGCTATGGTCCATTTAATGCTACAAATACTTTGAGATATTTTTCAGTTGGTCAGTTTTTCTGATTGGTTAATCAAATGTTTTGAAACATTTGTAGCGTTAAGTGGACACTCTTAAATAAGCGTTTTTTAAACATAAATTGTATAATATTAATTAATATTTATGTTATATTAACAAGTGTATATCTTATTATGATTGTAATTAAAATAGTTGGGTGAAGAAATTTATAATTACTGATTTATATTTTAGCAGAATAGTATCACCAAAATGTCTACTAATTTGTTTTTTAAATGGAGAATCAATACCAGAAGGAAACAGTCCAATTTATACGACATCCATGAGAAAAATGTGCATTTCTGCATCAGGTTTTAATGTAGAAACTAAGGTACAAGTATTGTGGCAATTTAATATGTACAAATTTTAATGGTTTGTGACAGTAATAGTTTTGATTGGTATTACAGGACTGGATACAACAACGAGTTGAATATATGGGAGGCTTTTTCACGAAGCAATTAAGAAGTTCTGTCACGCATTTAGTGGCAGATTCTGTAATGTCTGCAAAGTACGAGGTATGGTTGTATTTATAATATAATTGATTTTTAAATAGTTTCATTAGAAATATTGAGAATCTCATATAAAATTAAAATTATATTTTATGAAATGGCTAAAAAATTTTATCTTATTCTATATTTAAATTATTATTTTGTAATAATAATCCAATATAGTAGAAATTTAATTTATTAAAAATTTTATTTATAGAAAGCTGTTGAAATGAAGATACCAATTATGACGAAAGAATGGATAGAAGCTGTCTGGAAGGCAAATTTGAAGGAGGTGATTAAGGCTGATGATAAGATTTTTTATAAATACAAATGTCCAGTTTTTATGAATCTAGTAGTAACTTCAACAAATATTCATAAACGTCAAAAAGAAGAAATTAAACGTTTGATACATAACCATGGAGGAGTGAGTTAAATTTTATATAATATATATGTAATAGTAAACAATTTGTAATGTTAAATTTATGTTTTGCAGATATTCATGGGTCCTCTTGATGGAACGAAGGTTCGAGTGGTTCTAGCGTCCGAAAATGGTCCATTAAGCGATAAAATAAAATACGCAATGGAAAATGACATAGCTTGTTTAAAGCTTGATTGGGTACATGAAAGTATTAAAATAGGATGTGCTCTACCTTTTCGTAACTTTATTATCAAATCTGTAAAAGCGTGTTCAACACCAGAAAAAACAAATAGTATGTATATATTTAAAAAGTATAAATATAAAGAGGGCAACGAGCCAAGTAAATTAACGAATAATTTAATTTAAACAATCATATAAACATATCAAAAACAAATATTTCGACTTCGATCGGGTCATTTTAAATGTTACATAAAATATGAAATATGAATTAAAAAATATTATATACATACATTCTTCCTTAAGACAAAAAATATTCTCAATTCAATATAAGTTCAGTCAATGTTGGTGTCGTAAGCATATAATTAATCCTTGTTAATAAAAGAAAAAAAAAGTAACATGTCCATAAATAAAAATTCCAAGTTACAATAGTAAAAAATATTATAATTAAAATTAAATAAGGTAGTTTACAGCGAATTAAAATGAGAATAGCACTGATCTTTGTAATGACAAATAAGGTATATATTTAAATTCACGTCCTTATAATAATAATAATAATAATAGGAGGTTGTTATGATGATCTTTTAACACTGCATAAGCAGTATTAATTACTTTATAATAAAATGGATGACTAAATTGAATGAATAACAAGATAAATAACATTTTTTACGTATTTTTTTTAGATCAAGAATTGCTCAATTGTTCTGATATTAGCTGTATAGAACATCATGATAAACGTCACACTAATTATATAAGTGAAACTTTTACTTCAACGTTATCAAACTGTTCCAATGCAGATGCAATAATTAATAAAATCTCGGATGGTAAGTATTAATATATCGATTAAAATTAATTACGATTTAACTAAAAAATATGTGTATTTTCCTTTGTATAGTCGTTAAGTTAAACGTATTGGATCGACTCACTTTCGGCGAAGCAAAATCAGCTGGACCATTTCTGGACGGATGTAATGTAAATCTTTCTTGCATTATTCATAGTATATTACGCTTTTTTTCTTTCAATTTCAAAATTGCGATTATTATTTCGTCTTTACAGATTTATCTTGCTGGATTTATAACAAGTGTCAGAGATAAATTAAACAGAATATTAAATGTTGGCGGTGCAACACGTCTTGATGATATATCGGGTGCTGTGACGCATGTAATTGTTGGCGACGAGAATAAAGCATCCGCAGAACTAAAAGCGATGAAATCAAGAGGTTTATGGTATAGTAATATCAGATAAATAAGATGTATAATTTATTTGGCTCTCAATTTGCGATAAAATATTTATATTTTATATAATTAGTCATAACTGAAAAATGGATATCCTTTAAAAAAAAAATTGTTTTTTAATGTTAATAAGAATTTTTATTTGAAGTTTCATTAGGAGTTGATTATATATTATGTACAATCTATATAAATGTTGCATAAATATATAATATACTAATTGCCTTTTTTTCATATTCTCAATTTTTACTTCTATTTCATTATACATATTTTATTTTGGGCAGTCCTTACATATTGAATGTGGAATGGCTGGAAGAGAGTATGAAATTAAAACGGCCTGCATCAGAAGAACTCTTTTTGTTTGAAGCAAAGGATGCAGTACCTAAGAAAAACATTGAGACACCTGCTTCACCGCTCAGTAAAAAGGTATTAATAAAATATTTCATAGAAGTTGTAAATTTATATTTCTAATTTCTCAACATATAATATGTATCTTTTATTTTTTATAATTTTTGTATTTTCTTCTTGTGGAAAATCTGTGAGAAATTATCTAGAATTATGAAATATTATTAAATTTATATCAAATTGAACATTTTTATAAAGCTATAAATTTGCATTGGCAAATCGATGTATTATAAGGATTAATGGAATATATTGGTGTATTATTTTAGAATTTACAAATGTTACAACAACCAAAAAGATCTCTGCTGCCTTTGAATTTAGAGAAAGTAATTCCACCCGTGAATGAAGAAGAGCAACCTAATCTTGTGCAGCAATATTTGCAAGAGAATAACGGTAACACACAGACTGCATTCTAAAAATGATTTGCTTTGCATTTCAAACGTATTTAAGCACATTGTTAATTAATTAAACAGTGCAGTATTCTCATAGATAAAGTTTTTAAATAGATAGTCAAGTAGATGCCTCGTTATAACTAGATATATATCGTTATATCTGAATAAATTACAGATCGTAGTAGTGTCCAGCATGAATTCATCAAACCACTTACACCCATTTTGAAAGATAAAGACGAAGGGAATTTGAGTAAAGTGAAAAGTGCGCACACCAGTGAGATTTGTATGTTGGATACAACAAAAAATGTAGGAAATGATAATACTGTGCTACTGAGCCAAAGCTATACGGTGAATGAAAAGTTGTTCAAAGGTACATTAATTATAAGTTTTATTCTTCACATATTTCTACTCTGAAAAATAATATGCTCGTGCATTCACGTACATGTAGATATGAACAAACCTTTTATTATTGAAATTTTAACATTGATTGATAAAGTGTCGATATTAAGAAATGTGTTTTACGCTAAGAATAACTGATATCAAATATCAATCTTATGAAAAAAAAGTACAAGGATGGTTCAAATATGAGATTTTTTGTGCATAAATATTATTGTAGGTCATCCTTTAAATACTAATTTCGTATTTTTTAAAAGTTTAAAATTTATGTAAGAGTATTTTTTGTATTTAGTAAAATTTATATCTTAAAAATGAAAATCATATATTAAGAAGTTTTGGAAAGTTAAGGAATTTTCTCTACTTGTATTATTTAATGTAAATACGTCTATCAATGTTGTATTTACACAAAAAAGTCTTATTCATATATTTGAATCATTCTCCTATTGTAGTATATGTATATTTTTTATAAGTTTAAAAAAATATGTATGTATATATATAAGATTATTTTCTTAAGAGATAAAAATATCGAAAAGATCTCTTTTTGACATCTTTTGAGGAAATATTAATAATCTATATATCTATATAAATTTTTCTGAATGCAATCATAAAATAATACATGCAGGTTTAACGTTTATCGTGGCTGGTTTTGATGGCGAGGACAATCATATAGAGGAGACAATCATAATGTTGGGTGGGCGCCTAGCCTCAAGAACCTATAGCGGTATCCCAGATTATGGCATTGTGCCTATGGATGGAGCACCCTTATTAAAACATACAGTTAATGAAATTGTGAACGATTTATTTGTCGTAAGTATCCATTATACATTAATTTTTTATTTTTAAGAAGCTTAAAATTTGTGTCTTTCTTAAGATATATATTTTACGAGATTTTACAATGTTAGGTAATGCATAAGGGACGGAGTTTTTCTTGAAATTAAGATATTCAATCACTATTAAAAAAATAATTAATTTTATGATTAGAGAAGATTTTATACTTGATTTATATATATTTTTATGTGTTCTTTTAATTTAGTATAATTTTATATATTTTTCTGAATTTGACATTTATCACACACGCGACGCGCGCGCGCGCGCGCACACACACACACACACACACACACACACACACATTTTAGTTTTAAAAGACTTCTAGCTACTCTCTACATCTACGTAATTTGCAATTCAAATGTATTCTTCAATAATAAGTAGATTCCACTCATAATTTTTCCTAATGTTGCTGATATTGTTAAAATTGTAAATTTTTTATTCATTAATAGGAAGATTGCATAAATCGGGAGGAAGTTGTGGACATTATGTATTACCACAGGCCATTATCTATTAGAAAACCTTGTAATCCATTATCAGGTTGCGTCATAACGATGAGCATGTATACGGGATCTGAACGAATGTATCTTTCGACACTAGCTATGAAACTTGGCGCTATGTAATGCATACTTTTATTATATATCGTATACATATGTATAGTATATAATGTACATACATATTATATTTTACATAGAAAATTTTTTTTAAATATAAATTTTATATTTATATATAATAAGTATTTTTTTTTAAATATTTTCAGATGTCAAGATATGTTTGCGCGAAAAGCTAATGCAGAGAAAAATACACATGGCAGTACGCATTTGGTTTGTCCGTCCCCAGAAGGAAATAAATACAACGCGGCTGTGAGATGGCAATTGCCGGCTGTCACAGCAGACTGGTTAAAAACCTGCGCAGATCAATTAACACTGGTAGATGAAACTCCATTTCTTGTCGGAGAAACGATAAGTAAATTGATTTGTATTTATTGTTTTCACTTTTTTGTTTGTTTTTTTTAATTAGATTACGAATTTAAAGTTTATATTATATAGATTAAAAAATAATGTAATTTCTAAAGCTTTATTTTCATGTTGTATATAATTTTAACATATATATTTTAAAAGCACCAGTTAGAACGAATAGTAGTGAAGCGAATATCTCATCTGTTGGCGAAAGATCAAGTCCAGCAGACGAAATTACACCAAGAATGATTATTACACCAAAACGTCATTTATCTCAGATGAAGGTATGTATTATTATAAGATTAATATTTTTTATTATATTATAATATGCGACGTTAACGTAAATTCGCTGGCTTGCGTAAAATAGCCACGGTAGTGTCATTACACTTGGCTTAGTGCCGAAATACTATTGTGTCTCCAGATTTATATGTATGTAAAAATTTGATTTATTAAGAGCAATTTAAAACTATTTAGTAAGGTAACAAGTAAAAATAAACTGTAAGATTTATTTTAAATTACAATTTTAAATTTTGTAGGACGCACTCTCTGTCGAAACTCCATTGATAAATAAGAGACTCAGTCTCGTAATGAATCAGTCGTCGCCGTCACCATTTCATGTGTCCACTCCGGAGAGTCCATATGGACAGGTCTTTAAGCCCAATCCTTCGCCTGATACTCGAAAAGGATGGATTAAATGGATAGACAATTTTCCTGATTTGCAAATAGAGGAACCGCCGTTAAAACGACGCACACCTAGCACTGTGAGTATCATATTTTTGTATAAAAACAATTTCTGTGTTTAAACGCTTATATCAATATGTTATAACTGAGGACCATTTGCAGCCGCTTTCAGAATTAAAGAGGCAGTTGTGGGAGAAAATAAAGAATCCAGATCAATCTGAAAAAGTAAGACAAATATATTTAGGAGCCGCGTGTCTTGTTGCAGCAACAAATATTTGTGTGAAGATAGAGTATATTTATAATATAATAGCGCGCAGCGCATCGTGATATAATTAATAATCTTTTATAATAATCTTTTGTAAAAAATTTAACATTTTTTAACGATTTTACTACAATAGTTATTATTTTCAAAATCGTGATAGCGTTCAAGAATATTATAATACTGTATAATTAGATTAATTCAAGATTGATTTATATTTTTAACTACTAGGAACATGAATCGAATCCTACAATAGGACACAATGATAATAATTCTTTTTCGAAAAGAGCTGAAGAGGAATCTAACATAACTGCTTCATCATCAACCATCATTCCACCTATTAACCGAAAGCTCGACTTCGAAGAACAAAACAGCCCAATGTCAAAAGAAATAAACATGTGTGTGCTTCTTATAATGAAATAGAATATTAACATAAAATATATATACTATAATAAGATGTAGTATTTCGGAAGTGATAAAGGTGTATAGGATACTTTGTGAACATATAATACTTGTGATAAATACTTTTAAAAAGACATCTTTTATTTTTTATGACACATTCTATATATTACTGACATTAATAAGAGTAAATTTAAATTTTTTTATGAATAGGCAAATAGCGCAATTGGATAAAGTGCTTCAACGAACGTCAAGTACTCCTGAAAATAGATATTCGTTATCTGGAGAAAATGCGAAGAAGTACAACGAAACTTCCGATCATATACAAAAATGTAAGTATCTTTAAATTATGTTGTTAACTTATATAGCTGAGACGATATTTACAATTTTTGTACAATGTTTTGATATACTAATTATTTTACGAACATAGGTATAGTGAAGGATTCGCAAGCTATCGACGCCATTGTATGGGAGGATCCGGATCACCCAAAACGAGTATGTGATGACTTTTTTTTTCAAATAACTTACATTTTTGAAGATTTAGCTTTAGTTTTTATACATGCATTAACTTATAATAGAACAAAATAAACATATAAATCAAGGTTTTAATATTCTTTCTATGAATTAAGAAATAAAACTTGAGAAAAACATGTACAATAGGAAAATATAAAAGACATGAAATTGGATATGCTTATATCAAGCTGATGAAATTTTTTAAGTAGAGAGTTTATTGTATGTGTTATCTTAACTGTTTTTATCGGATTGAGATAAATTTTGAAATGTTTGTTATGATCTCAATTCAATTTTTTTATTTTTTGCAGATTTTATAGCCTTTTTTAGTTTTCTTATTTAATATTTTCATATGTATTAATTTTATAAACACACAAATGTTTGTTTTTTTACAGTCAATCTTAGGTAAACGGTCAAGTAATGATAATAGTAATATAATTCAAGAAGAAGAACATATCGTGGAAGACGCCACAGAATCGGGACCATTGGAATGTGAACCATTGGCAACACGAAAATTTATGCTGTCGGGTATAAAGGTATTATTATTGTCAGGCATAAAAATATTGTTACTTTGATATTGTGGTCATTATTTTGACATATTATATTTTAATAGGATAGAATTGTGTACGAACAAGTGATAAGAGATTTGGGTGGAGATGTATCTACGGACGCAAATTTTGATAATAGTGCCACACATCTTCTATGTATCAGACTCTCTAGAAACGAAAAAATGCTTGGCAGCATAGCTTCTGGAAAGTGGATCCTGCATTGCTCGTATCTACAAGATTCCAAACGAGAAGGCAGATTCCTCGATGTTAGTATATTAAAAGATTAGAAGAAATTAATATGCCGATACTTAGCTCATTTTTTTTGTTTAAAAAAAAATTGAAGGAAAAATAGAAAAAGATTCGATTGCATTATTGCGTTACGTTTACGATGTCAGCTGCAAAATTTTTATAGGAGGAAGAGTACGAATGGGGCAATCCAAAGAGCAAAAACAAAATTCCAGTATCAAGTGGTGAGCTCGAAAATGCGATCGGAGCCGCGATTTACAGGTGGCGATTAAAATTGCAAAAAGATTTCAATGGCCCATTTTCAAACATAGTAGCTCTGTTAATGGTCTCAGAAGAAAAATATGACCAATTTAAAAGACTAATCGAAGCTGGCGGTGGTTTAGTCATGCAAGCAAAGTGCGTATTAATCAATTCTATAGAAAAGAGAACAGTTTTATTATTTGTTATTTTGATTTCTTTTATTTGATTGCAGACCGCCTTACGATGCCAGTCCGTCTGGTCGCAGAATTACACACTGTTTCGTTAATGTGAAACAGGTAAGTTATGTGTTTTATATTTCTTAGAATAAATCCTTCAAAAAATACAATGTAACTCAATTAAGGTTTCTATCTGCTTCAGGAATTTTTTCAGTTTATTGATTATTTATATTACATGTATATATAATTAAAATAATTTTGTAATAATAAAATTGGAGCAAAGAATGATGAGATGTCTGTAGTATTGCAAAAAATTTATAACTGTATATATGTATTTTTTTTTAATGTATAATTTATTTTGAAAATAAGTGTAAGTGGATTGAGATCAAAATTATTAAATTATTAAACTTGAAAAACGAGTATATCATCATTAAAATACATGATACACACAAACACAAAATAGTATACATAGCGAATGTATAATCACGTTATTGAAACACTTAAATAATTTTATTATTATAAACAGGTAAACCAGCCTATAGACTGGGCTATGTTGGCTAGCAAAGGCATCCTCTGTTTCTTACCGCAATACCTCAGCGATTATTTAATCGCAGTGACGCCGCTCAATCCGCGAGACTGTGTACTTCCAGAATTCAAGAAATATCTGGCGCTACTGCCCAAGTAGTCAGACTGAGATCAAAATTATAATTAAATTTAGAAATAAGAGCACATCTTGTTGGTTCTATAAAATACGTGAGATACATACACATAATAGTGTACATACCAAATTGATTCATTAAAATAAGTGAGATAATATACAATAATGTACATAGTAAATTCATAATCATCATCATCGAATAGCTGAAATAAAGATTTCTTTTACAGAAAACAATCGAGTACAATAATTATATGTACATAACAAATTTTGTTTGTTAATATTTTATAACAAAAATTTGTATAATTTTATAAAGGGAATATCTCGATGGGTATTTTATAAAAGGGAAATTTTTGAATAAATATTTTTAAAACATAATATTTCAAAATTTGTATTTTCTAGAAAGTATAGCCACATAGATATTCGATAGATTTATAAGAATACAATTATAAATATAATATTAATACAATTAATATAATTATTATAAGTTGTATAGAAAATGATTGTACATATATAAGAAATTTGCTAATAATCACAGCGATTATACTTCCATTACAGAGAGCTATATTTATGCCCTACTAATATATCCATTAGTCAAAATAACTTCTAATGCTCTCATATACACATTCTAATAAAATAATAAAAACAAAAATTATAATGGTCATATACCTATCATTGCACATTGTAGCATTGTAAAGCATCATATCTTCTTAAAGTTCAGCAAGAATTCTGCTGGTGGCGAGATAAATACGTTTCGCGGATCGATGGGATCTTTCCATGAAGGATGCAATGCAACCTCATAATCACGCAAAATAGCTATCAATCCCACAGTGGTTTGCAAAATTCCCAGCCGCATACCTAATATTTAAATGGAATTAAATTAGAGAAAATCGAGGAAGAATTTGGTTATAAGCGGATTAACATTATTTTTTCTTATATTATACACATTATACTATACTCTTATTATTTATACTAGGATAAAATGCAAGCGCGTGTACGATTAAAATTATTTACTTATAAATTTTTGGATATTAATGAACACACACACACTTTCTCAGACAATATTAGAATCCTGAACAAGATTCCTAATATGTATTTGGAGAAAATTAAATAAATATATTTTTTAACCCGCGCGAGAAAGATAATAGACAAATAAATCTTATCGTGAAAGAAAGTTTATCGCGTAATAAATGTCAAGGAATGATAAATGTTGCTTTCTCCAACAAATTCTATTTTTTCTGCTCCATTTAAATTTGTTTATGTAAATGACACCAATTCACTAACCTATACAATTCCTTGGACCCTCTCCGAAAGGCAAGAAAGTGCAAGGTACAATCTCGTCTTTTCTTTCATCGCTGAATCGCTCGGGATCGAAACGCATAGGATCCTGATAGTATCTTGGGTCAGATTGAATACCACGTAATACGACGTATACCGGTATGTTCTTCTTGATAGTTATATTTGTGCCAGGAAACTGCAATTTATTCTTATGATTATAATTTAATTGGGACATTTTCAGATCTCTAGCTATTTAAAATTGATTAAAAAATCGCTTATTGAAAAAATTTGTTTTAAGCATAAAAATAACTTCTGAAATATAATATACTGTATCTCACTGTGTAATCGCTAAGAGGAAATCTGTCTATGATCGGCGCGGGTGGATAAAGTCTTAGCGTTTCATTTATTATTTGATGCAGATATTTCATATTGTGGACCGCTTCGTACGTTACATCATTAGTGTCCTGGATTGTCTTTAAGATCTCTTCCCGTACGCGTCTTTGCATTTCTGGTTGTTTGGCCAATTCGAAAAGCGCGCAAGTCATAGTAGTGATGCTGGTTTCGCGACCAGCTACAAAGAAGATCGCTGCTTGTGCGACAAGAGCGTCTCCTTCAAACTCTGAAGAAAATATCAGTAAAAATAGATTTTTCTTCTGATATAAATTACCAATATTGGAATACTATTTATGTGAGTATATTGTTTGTGCAAAGTGATAAAAAAGAAATTAATATGGTATTGATTAGATCTTGTATTAAAAATGTATTACATAAATTTTCTTATCTGCAGTAATTATTGTATATAATAATAAACTTCAATTGCAAATAAAGAGAGAGAGAGAGAGAGAGATTCACTCATAATAGATTTAAAAAATTTTTAATTTTAAGTGTTAAATACATTCGATTAAATTTATCATATATTAGTATTATGAAAAGCTATTTATTTAGCTCGATAGTAGGATAGTAGATTTTAAATCATTTAACCTACGCACACGCACAAACACACACACACACACACACACAGATACTTACGAACATTCATATTATCTGGCGGCTCATTTTTTAATTGTAAAAGAGAATCGATTAGATCTCCTCGTTTTAGTTTCGTGACGCTTCTATTGTCCATGGAATCCCAAAAGACTCTACGGAAGTAATCTGTGTACCTGCCAAGCATCGAGCCACCTAAGTATTTTCCGATCGCCGGTAAGAAGAATAAGAAGAAAAACTGCAAGGTCCTTAGAATGGTCGGAACGAAAGCTTTACGCGCTACACAAAAGAGCGAGTGAAGAGAATAAATGTTGCAGGAAAAGTTTAATATATAGACAGAAAAGAGCAAAGTGTACTATATAACATTTTTGAATTTATTATTTATATTTATTATTTTACTTACAGTTTACATAAAATTCTGGTGATGGTGTATCAAAGCAATTTGTTCGAATTCCAAACGCTACGGAGGATATCACGTCGGTGGTATATTTGTAGAATGTATCTTTGATAACTATTGGCACGACTCTGGAGTCCTCAATTTGATCGCGCAAATGGTCTCTCATCTTTTCCCCGGACTCTTGCATTAGCAGAAAGAGACTTTTCAGCTTGCCGCTCGTGAACACCGGTGTCATTTTTGATCTGAACAAGAAATAATCTTTTGGTAATTTTAATACTTTTCAATTTATGTATATGTTCTGATATATTTTAGATTGTTTATCAGATTATTTCTTTTTTTTTATTTTTCTTTTTAATAACATTCTTCAACAATCTATTTACAAGATAAATCTGAAGAGTTTGCAAGATAACTTAATATTATTAACATAACTAATATTCGTATTAGTTATGTTGTTACATTGACGGTCCTTTAAAATTTAATATTGTTTAATATTATTATACATTTAGATATATAATCATATATATTTTTTCAAATATATATAATTATTAGTTATATTATAATTTATGTAACATATATACTATTTACCTCAAATACTTCCATTCAGGATAACGTATGGAGAAAAGACTCCATTTGCTAATATTATCGGAATTATTTGCTCCCCTGAAATAATGATTTGGGAATATATTAAAGTCCTTGATCATTATCTGTTTGATCAGTTTAGGATTTCTTAGAAGCAGGGATGGCTTATGTAGGATGTAAATTCCTAAAACATCTTCGTTCTCAGCTTGCTTGTGTAATTCGCTGAGAACCACTCCAGCTGATCTGCGAAACAGCATTGCATCCTTGAAGTGACCGAAGAACCAATGTGAAGGTATCGTAGGTATGCCATGTCTCTGCCAATAGGTATGTTTCCATTTCATCCATAAGTAAAACATAACGAACAGCGACGAAAATATCACGAGCGCGTCCAGAAGGGCGCATTCGTATAATATCGCCATTTTTATGCAAATCGCATAAAATCTTCTTCTGCAACTTTGTGTAAAACTCAAATTTAATTATGAAATTTTGTTAATTTCATACGAAACTTTTCTCTGTATGATATTCTATCTAAATTGTATAAGATTGTGTAAAATTGTATGCAATTTATATGTAAAATTTACTGAAGAGACTCCGCGTGTATACTTTGTAAAAGCTGCGTGTAGACTACTCCAGATACTGTGTGGAACTGCGTGCAATAAGCGAAGATGATACTTTAACTGTGTATCAAAGCAATTTGCAAAGTCATTTATCAGTGAAGTGGATACTTATTTTCATCGGATATATTAGGTGTTATAAAAATTAACAGAAATCTCACAGAGCAGGAAAGAATTGACAGCAAAAAGATTATAGGAAATGCATTTTTTTCGAATAATAATTTTCTGAAATATAGGAGTTCGATGTTTGATCATAAATCGAAGCTGTGATTGAAAAATTATACAATAAATATATCTATTATAAATAACTTGCATATTAATACTTGAACCTAGATAACAAAGAGCTTCTCAGCAAAATTACATAAATCTGTTTGTGATATTGGTAACTTCTATATTCAACAGTTTCGACATACATATTGAAGCAATACGTAGACAATAATGTACAAATATATATTACCAGTAGTTTAACGGAAGAAAGTAGCGTCAAAGTTACCTTATTTTGTTAGTAGTATGACAAAATTGTGTGATTTTATAGATTACGGCAACATAACGATAATAGCACGAATTTGAATGGTAACGACTTCAAAGTTTTCGGCAAGTTGCTGGTGAATTGCTATTCAATTGTCATATTCTAAAGGCATCAATTTGTCAACAAATATGGATTCATTTGCTACAATACAGGTAGCATCGCATATGTAATGATATGAGCAACGTGCCAATAACAATATAAACTCGTTATCTGGAATTTTTGTCCAGCGGCATTTAATCACGCAAAATGCATAATCTCTCCCCCCTTCCTTTCCCTCTATCTTTCTTATTATCACTATACAGAGTGTTTGTAACATTTAAGGATAAATTTCCGAGATCATTTTGAGACGAAAGTCCCAATACCAAAATATCGAGATTATAACAGTTTTTGAATTAATAAGCATAAAGTAGGGAATCTGTTTAAGGAATATCGTTTATCATTCGCGCGTTTAAACAGTCTTTACTAGATATTCTGTGTATATGTCATTTTTATTTAAAAAAATCATTAATTCAAAATAAAAAAGTTTAATGCGCTTTAATAGTTTAACGCATCTTTACTGGTTTTTGTTGTAGCTTCATTTGTTATGTAATAAAAGCTCGCATGTCTAATAATATAATGAAAAGTATGAAGTAACAAATTACTTAATACGTTAATCAATGTTATAAATACTAGTAAATTTCTTTATTATAATCTTGTTTTTACGTTGACTCGTATTTGTGTGAACATAAATGTTATACATGTTTTATTAACCTTTAAAAGAGAAATTCTAACAAAAATCGAGATCATTCTTCTTTTGGGATAGATTAACTGTTATAATAATCGTTCATAATCATACCAGCAATTATACTTTTTTCAATAATTTTTGATATACTTATATATATTCTCTAACGAATTGTCTGCAAATATTCTTCTGTTTAGCTTTTTAATCTCTATCTTTTATTCCTCTTTTCTGTTTATTTCCGTAAAAAAGTATTCATTAATTTTTTTTTTTTTTTTTTTTAAGTAAAACGAATAAAAGAATAAAATAAAAAGTATACAAATAAAATATTAAGGAAATAAAATTGGAAAATATATAATTACTTCAAACTTTTTAGTGCTACTGTGGATATGGCATACAATGCATATTCAACTTTTACTTTATATGTTATAATTTTTTTTATTAATAAAGGTGATACATTGCTTGTTATCATTATATGCCATAATGTCTGACATTCGATTGAAAACAAAATAACATGTTTATTTTGTACACAATATTCAATGCACTGTACGTGACAGACATATAATATAGTACAGAAGAATATACATAATAATATAAATTCACTAGAAAAAATATATAAACAGCTATATATAATATCGCTGCTCTCAGTAAAATTAAAATAATGATTAGATAGTGTAATATGGATAATGGATCTAGTATAATGGATAAAATAATTATAGATGTTATCAAAAACGTTATCAGTTCAATAAAAGATAGTATTTAATGATATCTTTCGCTCTGTAATATCTTGTAAATATAATAATAACATTTATTATAAACTTTATAATAAGTTTATTATAAAAGTTTATTATATTGTAAACAGCTACATTCTGAATAATTTGATTCATATGTGAGGATATGGATAATTTTATGTAAATCAAGAGTCATTTGGAATAGTTAAAAATAATGTACATTCATTATATATATATATATGTATATTGAATCTATATTATAAATAGATACACTTGACATTCACGTTTTGCTAAACAAAGAGTGATTTTTTGTTTTACAAAATCGACATTATTTCCTATAGTCTTTAGATGGAGAATTCAATGATACTAATAAAAATTACATCATATGATAGGAATATATAAAAAAAATTAGCTCAAAGAAAACGCGTGGCATTGCACTCATGAGATAAGTCGCTACACTATCCATGTATCGTATACTGCAGAAAATGTGATACATTATATTCTGATTTTTGAAATATAGAATATCTTTTAAAAATGACACATTTAATAACAAAAATATCAAAGGCGACGCAGAGGCTTATCGAGCTCTTGCAAAACATGTCCGAGGCGACATCCGTCTCTTGGGAGAAGCTATCTTTAAACATGTTAGGTGAGTTTTTTAATTCATCTATTTATTTACGGGGCAAAATCACATTGGTATAATGATTAATTGACTAATAAATTAGAAACTTGTATCTTGATTCTGTAACTCACCTGTATTCAATTCTTAATGATGGTGCTGGTATATTGTCATATTGTGCAGATATTATACATGATAAAAAGCCTGATGTAACCGAAACTAAATGTAATATTTTTACAAGATATTTTATGTTTTTAATATCAAAAATGATGATATACCACATCATCTATTATCAATACATATTTTGTAGCGTGTCTTTTTGTTTCACAATTGATTACAATGCCACGTTTTCCCTACTTTGAACCTAATTCTTTATGTGTTTTCATCATGTGATGTAATTTTAACTGGTACCATTGGATTTCTCATCTCAAAAGTTATAATTAAGAAATAATGTCGATTTTACTTTCTGCGAGTTCCGCAAAACAGTCGTTTTCGTAATATTCTTCTTCCCAACCGACATCCATCTTTATGTAAAACTAAATTGCGAAATTAATGTTGTCATTTCGGTTCTTATCACTTGTGACTATTAGTTGTATATTATTATTCGTCAATGAACCGAACTAATAAGTTCGGCCGAACTTATTAGTTCAGTTCAATGACGAATTATATTTGATATATGTTATCATAGTTTTTTAAAATGCAGATCAATTTTATTATGCGCAGTCGTAAAGATCGAACGCGGATTCAGAAAGCTCGTATGCTCTTTCTCTCTCTCTTTCTCTCTTTAGAATCTCTCCAAATCTCGTAATCTCTCAATAAGACTAGAATAATTTTAGCGTGCAACTGGTCCACTTTTACTCCTTTCTCTCTATAAACAATTTATACAAGACAATTTATATAAGGCTAAATGATCGCTGTAGGATCAATAATTAAGAAGCTATAAATTTTTTGCAGTCTCATCGAATTAGAAATTTGAGTTAATTAAATAACAATTTTAGTTTCTCAACTTTATTAAATTAAAAGTTAATCGAAAATTAACTGTAAGAAATCTTTAATAAATCTTTCAAAAAAACCTAATTAATAAAAATAAGAAACTGTTTCTTTGAAAAGAATATATAAAAGTATGGAAATAATGATGTATAATGATGAATAATCGATAATCAATCAAAAATATCTTCTGACTACATAATATATATGTTTACTAGATAGCTTGAGGCTCCTATTCACTCATCACTATCACTTTAAATTATGACTTTAGAAGCAAGAAAATACACATTAACAATTCTTACAAAATATACAGATATGAAAATATGTTTTAATTAAACGACACTTATTCATAATCTCAATAGTATTTGTAAAATATATACATAGATACTATCTAAAATTTTTCTTTTGTTTTGTTTATTAATAAACAATTATATATATAATCTGAACATAAAATTTGCTTAATTAAAAAAAGTTTTGTTCATAACCGTGACAAACCATTACATTAATAATACATAGACATAAATGATTTAATTTTTCTCCGAAAGAAAAAAAGTGTGTGTGTGTGTGTGTGTGTGTGTGTGTGTAATTACCGATATATTTTATAAGTTTATTCTATCGATTACAAATATTGTTTTATTGAAAAATATTTCTGTTTGAATATATTTACAAAAATTTTTATTGTGTTTTTTCTCGCTTCTGACATCACAATTAAGATTATAATAGTAGTGAGTGAACAAACAGTATTCTTAATTATATGTATAATTGATTTTGAATTACGCATAAAATGTTATTTATCAACGTATAACTTTATTAATCTAATAGAAATGCAAATAATTTCTGATTAAAATATAATTTTATTTCGATGTTGAGTTTGATAAGATTTTGATATGTTTCTATTTTCTTAATATCTTATTTTAATATTAAAATTTTTATTAATACACATATTAATATATTTTTTATTAATATTATATAATATTAAAGTTTTTATATTATTATTTTTCTTTTCTTTTTACGCGTATTCTTTTTTTTAACTTTTATTTTCAGGCGAATACATTTCTATAACTATTTATGTATCTATTTCTCGCTATTGTTCTTATTATTATTATTTACCAATGCACATTCTAGAATCAATCCTGAACGTCATGTAGGAAATATCATTATTCTTGACGAATCTGTCGAGATTGTAAACTTCTGGTTCATCCTAAAATCTAGAGTCTATTTCCATACAAGAGGAGATATACTATATTGGCACCCTTTTCGATGATGATATCAGTATTAGGAATCTGGAGTTTTATAATTTTTTAAATAT